GCCTCCAACACCCCACATGACGTGCATAGGTGCTTGCCGAGATCATCCGCACCGGCCGCGTGCGTGCACCCGCTGCAATCAGGATGGAGGAGAACCTGACATCCTTTGAGGACTGCCTGGGGGGCTGCGAGCGCGTGCTCAAGACCCCCATCCCACTCAGCTACACACGGTGCGCACGCGGCCAACATCTCACATGCCATCTCACCCAAAAACGCCTTGGTTGATTTCACGGCGCACTGATGCGTGATCGCACAAGGGACTCGGCGCCCCCCACGCGGACCGCGGTCTGTGCGGCCACCTCGCCTCCTCCTCGCAACCACCACCTCGACCCTCCAAAATCTGGCACGCATCAAACTGCAGGCACACCAGCCGCTCCCTGATGATCTGGCTGACGCTGCTGCCGTTTGCGCTGGTCAGCACCTGCGGGCTGGCCACCATCCCCCTGTGCGGCTTTGTCGCCTTCCTCCTGCTGGGTGAGACCATCCGTAAGTCTTGGCTGTGCTCGATCTTGCCTGGTTTTGCTACTCCGTTGCCACCAGGTAGGCTGACTGTGGTGTGTAGGCCCATTTCATAAGTATGATCAAGAACATGCGCCATCACACTACATGTGCCAAAAATGTGACTCTGCCTCACACACCCGCGGCCGTTTGACCAACCGTTTAGGCATTGAGGAGATTGGTGTCTCGATTGAGGAGCCCTTCAGTACCCTGCCACTGGCGGCGATCTGTGGGTCAGTCCTGACCAATGTGCGGGAGCTGCAGGCGACCCACGCCGCCGACACGACTGGGAGCAGCGCTGCAGACGTTAATCCCCTGCCCCTGTCGGCGTCGCAGCTGGTGACGCGCTACGGCGTCGCGGCGGCCGAGGCTGAGGTCAGGGGCATGGACGTGGCCGTGAGTGGCGCTGCGGCCGCGGCGGCAGCCATTCGTGCGGGTGTGCCGGGCAACCATGCTGTGTGGCCGCAAATCAGGGCAGGGTTAGCGGCTGCGCAGTCGTGAGGGCCCAGGTGCACGCCACGTGCTGGGATGCATTCAAGGCCTCTGAGCAGATCGCTGTCAAACTGGCTGACAAGGAAAGGCGGTGCATATGCCCGTCCGTGTCAGCAGTCAAAACTTGCTTGGCTCACGCGTGCTTGGCTTATCCAGCGCACTCGAGTGCAACTTGCCTCGAGAATCACGTTGTTTAGCATTGTGCTGAAGTTGAAGATTTCTATTATTACTTTCACAGTTGTGATCTGGATGCCAGCATCGCGAAGCCGCCAGGTGTGCAGTTTGAGAACTGCGTTGCTTGTGCACAGCCATCATTTGGTTGTTCAAACTGGCTGCATGCTAGATTTTCAGGATGAATGTATGCATGGGACATCGTGATAATGCAGGTAGGCATGCACATCCAAACCACTGGATGTTGCAGCCATACCCTGCATATCTTTTCCACAAAGAATGTATAAGTCGTCAAATTCATGCTATCCACCTTCAATGATATGTCTCACCCATTCCCACAAAACCTTTGTGCTTGTAGCTGACCATTTACGGCCGACCCAGTTTATTCTTTACTCTTTGTGCAGCGACATCTGAGCATCAGTCATGCAAGTGGCTGTATTATTGTAACAACTTGCAAAGTTGCCCAATATAGCAGGCAATGTGCATCTCGGCCCAACCGCACATACGTAACTGTGAATCCCTGCTCATCAAGTTGCGACAGATGTGCTTGCATTGCTTGGTGATAAGCTGATGACCCTTCCACAAAGGCTGTTGCTGACGTGTTGTCAGCTCGGGCACAGGTGCGATTGCATTTTACAGCACCTCGTTTTTTTCCAAATTGACAGGCATCTCAAATAAAGGCTTCGTGGCTCCCACATGAGGCCACCGAAACGCGGTCTTGGCAAGCCTGGCTGGCATCAGCAGGGTGCCACAGCGAGATTTTACATTCACAACCTGCAAGAAAACGTCTCTGCCTGCTTTCAAAACGCTGCCTCATGTACTGGTAACCACCTTGACCTCGATGAACATGTGTGTATCCAGCATGTTCACGGTCAGTGCACAGCAGGCTAGAAGGCTGGCAGGGCCGTACCGTATTCAAACGTCACTACACATGCACACTCCGATGATCCGAAACCTCCATCACCAACCGAGCCAGGACACCGCGGCCCCAAAAGCAATGCATGCAGCACGCGGCTCAGGTGAGCCATTCTTGCATGGTTTGTCACCGTAAAACCTACCACGTCGGGTTACGGCAGGTGTGGACCTGTCGGCGAACCGCCCTTGCCGTTGCGTGCGAGGTCCTAGCTTAAATCCTGGCCGCACTGGACACAACATCACAACAAATCGTCACTTTCTAAATTGCACACATCGCAGCATACGGAACAGACTAAACAACATCGTGACAGCCGTGTGTGAGGCTTCGTTGCCGCGCACTCGCGTTCCACCCCGCGTTTGAGATACAGACATGCAAACAAGCTTTGCGGCAAACAAGATGCAGCATGCTGCCCGGCTTCAGCACGCCGCTGCGGCGCCCCAGCTGATGCGGCCACCAACACACCAACGGGCGCTGTGCGCGACCATCAGCGCGTACGTCAGGAGCATAGAGAAGGGTGATGACCTGGCCAAGAATCAGCTCTGTCATGTCAAGCGCGCGTCTGTGCGCGCCAAGGCGTCAGCCAAGGACCCCAGGGTGCGAGTTAATCGGACCTCCAGCTGCACCATCCGATGCCACTGCCGCTGCTGCTTTGACTTTTGGCTGCCAATGCCACCGCTGCTGCCGCAACTGCACGAGTCGCTGCCCCCATGGCCCTGCAATAGACTGTGCGTGCTTCGGCCCCAGTGGCACCATGCCAGTGCTCGGCACCCAACCAAAGCGATGCACACGGAAGCTCGCACAGCCCTTTTGCGTGCCCTGTACCCCTTGCGATGAGACGTAGCCTCCAACAGACCAGCAAGAATCCCATCCCTGGTCTGCTCCAACCCCACACGGCACCTTGCCTCAGCCTTTGTCCCCAACCCCACCCCACGACCCACCACTCATCACAGGTGTTCGATCACGACAACTGGGACGTCCACCGCAGCACCACGCGCCACGCGCGCCACATCGCGGGCCTGTGCAGGTGTGCACGCTTGCTGTACGCTGCAAAACGCCAGAAACAGCCGCACGGGCTGCTGGTGACGGTCGGGTGTGCGCGGCGAAGGGCTCCCCGTTCGCGCCTGGCTGCGCGTTGGAGCTTTTCGACCCTCACACGGCGGTACATCGTCCCTCCCGCCGCCACTGACACCTGCAGGTCCCAAACTGTAGCCAACCTGGTGCGGCCCCTGTCGTACGTCATGGGCGTGGCCGTCACGGTCGTTGCGGTCGAGGCGCTGCGCGCGGTGAGCGGTTGCCGCTGCTGGGCCTGCATTGGCGCTCACCGTGACCAGGCGGCTGTGGAGCGGCCAGAGCTGGCAGTGCCTCAACCCAAGCGCCCGCCTCTCTGAATTGTGTTGTCGTGGATGTTGTGACCTGTGATTCGGAGCAGCCTCGGATAGCCCCGCAGCTGAAGGCCGAGAGCCATCCACCCCTGCCTTCCCGCTGCTCCCATGACACCTCCCACTCAACTACCCCTTCGCATTTCTTTTGCAACACACTGCTGTCTCCTTGCAGGCCGGCTGCGCGCCTGCATTTCTGCCCAGCCTGCAGGTCAACTCGGCGCTCTTCGGCCTGACCAGCTTCGCCCTGTCACTCCTGCTCGTCTTCCGCACCAACGCTAGGTCAGCGCAACCGATCAGATAGGGGTGTCGCTATGCTGCAGGTGCAGCAGCATCCCGAGGCGCGCACCCTCCACCGCATGCCCGCGCATGAGCAAGCTTCGCTCGTGCCTGCCCCTGTTGAAGCCTGCTGGCAGCGCGCTGCGCGGCATCACGCGCAGGCCGGTGTGCGCGCTTGCGTGTGACGGCTAGAAAGTCAACGGGGGTTTGACCGGGCCGTTTGCCTGCATCGTGCGTGCATGCTGTCTGTATGCCTCGCGCGCTGCCCACTGAAACCACAGCCCCGCCACGGGCTGCTCCCCCGGTTCGCGTGACCCGCTGACTGCCACTCGCATCATTCACGGCCAAACCCAACCCGCATGCAGCTACGAGCGGTGGGACAGCGCCCGCAAGATGTGGGGTCTGGTGCTCAACCGCTCCCGCGACATCGTCCGGCAGGTGCGCCCGCGTGCAGCAAAAAAGGGACCCGCAGCGTTGCTCACCCCGCCTCCAGCCACTGCCAATGCCGAGTTGCGGGGCTGGCCCTGCTGCAGGCATGGGCGCGGCACTGGCAGCCGCTTGGGTGTGAGCCCGCAGCTGGGTCGCACCAACCCGCGTCCCCTGAAGCCGGGTCCTGCTTCATTGCACAGCCCCCAGAGCCGGCCTCTGTCCCACCCACCACCTAAACCAGCTCGTGTATGTTGCTGTCTTGTTTAACCCAATCGACCCCTACACAGCACCTTCGTTTTTATAAATGTCTCGCCGCACCCACCCTCGCGCCCCCAGGGCCTGACCCACATACCGCGCGACAAGCCGGACCTGCGGGCCATGCTGTGCCGCTGGGTGCCGGCCTTCTCCAAGGCTCTCATGTGCCACCTGCGCCGCGACAAGAACCTGAGCCAGGAGCTGCAGGTCGGCCGCGTCTTGGGTTTTGCACCCACAGTGGTTTTGGGTGCGGAGCAGTGCTGAAGCATGCATGAGGGGGCGGCGACCTGCATCCGCGAAGGACGACTGCCAAACGGGGGGCCGAGGAACAGAATCCGTCGCTCAGAACGCACGTTGCGGCTGGGGCCCTCTCCATTTCCTTTGGCGGCAGCTTGCTTGGCAGCCCCAGAGCCCCACCCTATCGCAGTAATGCCGCAGGCGCCTGGTCGTCTCGTGGTCTGCGTGCCCTCTCCTTGCTGTCGCGCAGCCGACCCCAATCTCAACCTGCTGAACCCTGGTCGCACTCACTCCCAATAACCTCCTCACCCCTCCCCCAGGGTGTCCTGCTGCCCGCTGAGGTGGACGAGGTGATGCGCGCCCAGCACCGCCCAAACTACGTGCTGCAGGTGAGGGCTTTCCGGGGTGCAGGGGCACTTGGATGGATGCTGTCCAAGTAACACGTGATCGCCAACGCATCCCTGCACGCGGGGCGGGGCACCATCACTGATGCTCGCGTCGGCAGCAGCCCGCGCGGGCGGCGACCCGCCTGGAACAGCTGATGCTCAGCACGTCAACCGCTTGCCCCTGGCGCGGGCGCTGCCTGCATTGCCACAACCGGCTGTGCGTCCCTGCCGCTTTTGCTCTCCGACGAAGACCCCCCTCACGGGGGGAGGTAAACCCTAAACCCTAATCCTACACACACACACACACACACACACACACACACGTGACATGCACACACACACACACTCACTCTCTCTCTTACACACACTTGTGACACGCACCCTCAGGTGCTGGCCGAGATCATCCGCACCGGCCGCGTGCGCGCGACCGCTGCGATCAGAATGGAGGAGAACCTCACATCCTTTGAGGACTGCCTGGGGGGCTGCGAGCGCATCCTGAAGACCCCCATCCCACTCAGCTACACGCGGTGCGTGAATGGGCACTTGGCACCCGACGCCGCCCCGGCACCACGCCCATGCTGAGCAAGGGGTCTGCGCAATCGTGCACCAATGCTTGCTGCGTTGCTCACAGCCCTTATGTCCACCAAAATGCCAGCCCAGCTCAGCCGCTCCCCACCACGCCTCCCAAATAGTCTTGCACATGCCATTCCCCCATCCACACACACAGGCACACCAGCCGCACCATGATGATCTGGCTGACGCTGCTGCCGTCCGCGCTGGTCAGCACCTGCGGGCTGGCCACCATCCCCCTCTGCGGCTTCGTCGCCTTCCTCCTGCTCGGTGAGCCCCCGCGCGGCTCCATGGCATTTGATGAAGGAATGTTGCTGCATCCAAACGACCTCACTTTGCATCATACATACTGCTGGCATGGGCCGCCCGTTGGGGACGGCTTGCCGTGTCAGCAGATGGTGCTTGCTAGTCCCCCCCTCCAGTCACCACACACAACACCAGAAACCACCTGACGATCACCGCTGTCGCAACCTCATACGCTGCATGAAACATTGCCAACCATGTGATCGTCCACCCAGGAATCGAGGAGATTGGGGTCTCGATCGAGGAGCCCTTCAGCATCCTGCCCCTGGACGCAATCTCCGGGTCAGTCCTGACCAACGTGCGGGAGCTGCAGGCGACCCACGACGCCGCCGCGGGCGCGACCGGCGCCGCGGACGCGGCACCCCTGCCCCTGTCGGCGTCGCAGCTGGTGACGCGCTACGGCGTCGCGGCGGCTGAGGCCCAGGTCAGGGGCATGCACGTGGGCGTGAACGGCGCCGCGGCCGCGGTCGCGGCCAACGGCACGGCCGTGCGGAGCACCCACGCTGTGTGGCCGCAGGTCAGGGCGGGGCTGGCGGCCGCGCGGGCCTGAGGAATGCGAAAAGGCGGTGTACTTTCTTTACTGTCTGGCACACATCAGCGTGCATCAGCAAGCCTGCATCGAGCGGTCGTGCAAAAATCAGAGGGAGCGCTGCGAGAAATCACACATCTGTTTTGGTAGCCATGCTTGTACATTGTCACCCCTGACTCACCCCATGCACGCAAGCGCAACGACCGCTGGGTGTGTGGTGCTGCTCGGTGTGACGCATGTAGGTTTGCCGGCTGTGGGGCCGCGACGGGGTCAGTGACATGGCCGCGAGGACAGAGCGCTTGGTCTTGAGATTGTCGGTTGCTGCGCGCCCCTTGCAACAAGGTCGCATGTGGCCACGATTATATCCCACCTTTACGCACGACTAAGTGATCAGCAGCAAAACTTGGTAGCCTGTGGCGGGTGGCAGGTCTGCGTCCGCTCGCTCTCTTGAACCCCTGTCTCTGCAGCACCTCAACTTTCTCGCCCCAAACGTTTGCCGCGGGCAGGCGCGTTCCGCACCCTCCCGTTTTATTCACACGCCAAATTTCTTGAGCCCTAGTGTTTGCATCACACCAGAGAGGGCGCTTGCTTTGTACAGCTGCGCCAAACCAGTAGAGGCATGCACACTAGCCGTTGAGCGCCGATCGTTTCGCCAGTGCCAAACCCCAAACGCTCCGCGCTTTGCCTCTGCCTCAATCCGTGTGTTGCCCGTCTGTCAATCTGCCCTGCCACAATGGAGCGGGTGCCTTATCTGTTTTTCAGCCCTGTGCACAAATGCAGCAGCCCAACAATCTGTGTTGGAGACCAAGGCTTACTTGTGTCCCTGCGAGTAACAAAGTATTACACCGACGTGCCTATGTGTGTGTGTGTGTGTGTGTGTTGGTGGGCCCTGCAGGGCCTGCAGGGAGAGACAAATGCTACGCGACAAACTTCACCGAAGCAAGCATTGGGCGTCACGTCGTTTTTGCAACCTGCAAGGACGGACAAGGCACTCTCCGCGCTGCAAAAGCACCAGGCAGCCGTATTGGCAGGCGGGACAACAGCAGGGGGGTCAGAAAGGCAGCATGGTTGCGTTGCAGGTGCATCATTCTGTCGCTACCATTCCACACATTTGCAGCAGCTGCTAGCAGGGCGTACAAGGGATGCGTTTGCAAACGGGCTGGCATTGAATTCACAGGCGGAAGGAACAAGGTAGATGTGACATGATGCCGGCGGCGTGGCGGCCCGTCCTGCGGCGGCCCTGCCAATTCCAGTGTCGCGCGTGTGTGGTCCTGAAAGCAACAAAGCACCTGCCGCTATTTCACAATCGCTAAATATTAAACAATCCAGCAGCTTCAGGAAGTTGGACCAACACCTGCGTGCATGCCGCATCTGCATGGCATCACCACCACAGCAGCGGCCCATAAGACAGCAACCAGCAACCCCTTGCAGTAAAAACTTCACAGCCGCAAAGCAGAAATTGCATGCCATTTTCCTGCTGGGAAGCTTATGCACAAATCAAGCAGCCGCCTGGATCTCGTCTGAACCTCCCATCCGGTGACTGTTCTTCTCTTATATGGTCAATTCACATCTATCACCGCAGGTTCTGGCCGCGAACGACCTCGGCCACACCGGGACGCGCCCCCTCCTCGCACCCCGGCGGCACCAGGCTAACGCCCCACGCGGCGCCGATCCTGGGCCCCACGCGCAGCGCCTCTGCGACCCATTCCCCGTGGCGGCCGGGCTGCAGGTGCCGCTCAGCTTCCAGGTACGCCTGCATGTATAAGGGCAGGCAGCCAGCGTGATCGGGTCCGGCGCACGCGACGACGGGTGCGCAGTGGCCGTGGGCAGCATCCATCGCGTTCGAAAGGGGTGCGGCCTGGGTTCTCCGGCAGAGTCGCGCCTGCTGCGTGCTGCATAGGTCGGGCGACCGCCAGCGGCCCTTTCATGTGCCCATCGCGTGTGCAAGCGCATGGGCTGGCTGCACCTTGCGCCCCGCGCCGGGCGAAGGCAACCAAGACACGCTAAACGAGAGCCGCGATGCACCAGCGGCGCCAGCCAAAAACGTTTCGGCAATCCATTCATATTTGAATGTCGTTCATGCTGCAGTAAGCTTCGACACATAGCAGCATGATTCCATGACCCACCTGTTCGGCGTCCGCGTGATGTGGCAGGCGGTTCAGCGCGAGTATGCTGGGGTCCGCCACCGCCCCCGGGTCGCGCCAGCAGTGCTCCCATTGGTCCCAGCGCCCAAAGCAGACGGCCCCCC